ATAATGGAACTTTATAGACATTATGGGGTAATGGCATAATGGAGCTTCACAGTGGAGCTATATAATGGAACTTTATAGACATTATGGGGTAATGGCATAATGGAGCTTCACAGTGGAGCTATATAATGGAACTTTATAGACATTATGGAGTAATAGCATAATGGAGCTTCACAGTGGAGCTATATAATGGAACTTTATAGGAGAGCTGACAGTGAACTTTGTTAATATTTTCAAAATTTCTGACATAACCCGGACAACACTAGACTGAAAAAGCGATTGACAACATGGCTGAGCACTCTGCACCAGTGACAACATGGCTGAGCACTCTGCACCAGTGACAACATGGCTGAGCACTCTGCACCAGTGACAACATGGCTGAGCACTCTGCACCAGTGACAACATGGCCACACACTCTGCACCAGTGACAACATGGCTGAGCACTCTGCACCAGTGACAACATGGCTGAGCACTCTGCACCAGTGACAACATGGCTGAGCACTCTGCACCAGTGACAACATGGCTGAGCACTCTGCACCAGTGACAACATGGCTGAGCACTCTGCACAAGTGACAACATGGCTGAGCACTCTGCACCAGTGACAACATGGCTGAGCACTCTGCACCAGTGACACATGGCTGAGCACTCTGCACAGTGACAACATGGCTGAGCACTCTGCACCAGTGGACAACATGGCTGAGCACTCTGCACCAGTGACAACATGGCTGAGCACTCTGCACCAGTGACAACATGGCTGAGCACTCTGCACCAGTGACAACATGGCTGAGCACTCTGCACCAGTGACAACATGGCTGAGCACTCTGCACCAGTGACAACATGGCTGAGCACTCTGCACCAGTGACAACATGGCTGAGCACTCTGCACCAGTGACAACATGGCCACACACTCTGCACCAGTGACAACATGGCTGAGCACTCTGCGCCAGTGACAACATGGCCACACACTCTGCACCAGTGACAACATGGCTGAGCACTCTGCACCAGTGACAACATGGCTGAGCACTCTGCACCAGTGACAACATGGCTGAGCACTCTGCACCAGTGACAACATGGCTGAGCACTCTGCACCAGTGACAACATGGCTGAGCACTCTGCACCAGTGACAACATGGCCACACACTCTGCACCAGTGACAACATGGCCACACACTCTGCACCAGTGACAACATGGCTGAGCACTCTGCACCAGTGACAACATGGCTGAGCACTCTGCACCAGTGACAACATGGCCACACACTCTGCACCAGTGACAACATGGCTGAGCACCCTGCGCCAGTGACAACATGGCTGAGCACTCTGCACCAGTGACAACATGGCTGAGCACTCTGCACCAGTGACAACATGGCTGAGCACTCTGCACCAGTGACAACATGGCTGAGCACTCTGCACCAGTGACAACATGGCCACACACTCTGCACCAGTGACAACATGGCTGAGCACTCTGCACCAGTGACAACATGGCTGAGCACTCTGCACCAGTGACAACATGGCCACACCCTCTGCACCAGTGACAACATGGCTGAGCACTCTGCACCAGTGACAACATGGCCACACACTCTGCACCAGTGACAACATGCTGAGCACTCTGCACAGTGACAACATGGCTGAGCACTCTGCACCAGTGACAACATGGCTGAGCACTCTGCACCAGTGACAACATGGCTGAGCACTCTGCACCAGTGACAACATGGCTGAGCACTCTGCACCAGTGACAACATGGCTGAGCACTCTGCACCAGTGACAACATGGCTGATCACTCTGCACCAGTGACAACATGGCTGAGCACTCTGTGCCAGTGACAACATGGCTGAGCACTCTGCACCAGTGACAACATGGCTGAGCACTCTGCACCAGTGACAACATGGCCACATACTCTGCACCAGTGACAACATGGCTGAGCACTCTGCACCAGTGACAACATGGCCACACACTCTGCACCAGTGACAACATGGCTGAGCACTCTGCACCAGTGACAACATGGCCACACACTCTGCACCAGTGACAACATGGACACACACTCTGCACCAGTGACAACATGGACACACACTCTGCACCAGTGACAACATGGCTGAGCACTCTGCACCAGTGACAACATGGCCACACACTCTGCACCAGTGACAACATGGCCACACACTCTGCACCAGTGACAACATGGCTGAGCACTCTGCACCAGTGGCAACATGGCTGAGCACTCTGCACCAGTGACAACATGGCCACACACTCTGCACCAGTGACAACATGGCCACACACTCTGCACCAGTGACAACATGGCTGCACACTTTGCACCAGTGACAACATGGCTGAGCACTCTGCACCAGTAACATGGCCACACACTCTGCACCAGTGACAACATGGCTGAGCACTCTGCACCAGTGACAACATGGCTGTGCACTCTGCACCAGTGACAACATGGCTGTGCACTCTGCACCAGTGACAACATGGCTGCGCACTCTGCACCAGTGACAACATGGCTGCACACTCTGCACCAGTGACAACATGGCTGTGCACTCTGCACCAGTGACAACATGACCACACACTCTGCACCAGTGACAACATGGCCACACACTCTGCACCAGTGACAACATGGCTGAGCACTCTGCACCGACAACATGGCTGCACACTCTGCACCAGTGACAACATGGCTGCGCACTCTGCACCAGTGACAACATGGCTGCGCACTCTGTACCAGTGACAACATGGCTGTGCACTCTGCACCAGTGACAACATGGCTGAGCACTCTGCACCAGTGACAACATGGATGCACACTCTGCACCAATGACAACATGGCTGTGCACTCTGCACCAGTGACAACATGGCTGTGCACTTTGCACCAGTGACAACATGGCTGAGCACTCTGCACCAGTGACAACATAGCTGCACACTCTGCACCAGTGACAACATGGCTGCACACTCTGCACCAGTGACAACATGGCTGCGCACTCTGCACCAGTGACAACATGGCTGTGCACTCTGCACCAGTGACAACATGGCTCAGAACTCTGCACCAGTGACAACATGGCTCAGCACTCTGCACCAGTGACAACATGGCCACACACTCTGCACCAGTGACAACATGGCTGTGCACTCTGCACCAGTGACAACATGGCTGCACATTCTGCACCAGTGACAACATGGCTGTGCACTCTGCACCAGTGACAACATGGCTGCACACTCTGCACCAGTGACAACATGGCTGTGCACTCTGTACCAGTGACAACATGGCTGAGCACTCTGCACCAGTGACAACATGGCTGTGCACTCTGCACCAGTGACAACATGGCTGTGCACTCTGCACCAGTGACAACATGGCTGTGCACTCTGCACCAGCCTCAGAACTGCAAGAAACCCTTCATGTGACAAATATTTTATGAAGAGGGGTCATCACACAGTCACTAAAAACAATAGATAAAGTCCCACTCCACAAAAATGGCAGTAATGCAACTACAAAGAATTACATATAGACCAATTGCACTAATGTCCCATATTATAAAAAAATCTTTGAAAAGTTCTAAGAAGCAAAAATTGCCAACCACTTGGATACCCAACAATTGGACAATCCAGGCAGCATGGGTTTAGATCAGGTCACTCCTGCCTCTCACAACTACTGGACCACTATGACAGTCTTGGATGCACTGGAGGACAAACAGAATACAAATGTATATACATAGACTTTGCAAATGCCTTCGACAAGTGCGAATATGGTGTAATAGCACACAAAATAAGAAAAGCCCTGTTCCACAAGGTATAGTACTCACTTCCACCCATTTTCCTCATCCTCATATCTGATATAGACAGAGATGTAAGCCACAGAGCCATGTCCTCCCTGGCTGACAATTCCAGAACTTGCATGAGTGTCATCCATTGAGGACACTGTAAGTCTCCAAGTGGATATAAACTAAGTGTTCAAATGGGCCACAGAAAACATTATCAAGTTCACTGAGGTCAAATTTCAACTATACACTGATATGGAAAACTTGAGCAAATAAAAGCTAGATTGGAATATAAAATAAATTCTAACTACACAACAGAGTGGAAAACTAATGTGAAGAACTTGGGAGTGATAATAATACAGTAATAATTTTATTTCTGAATGATACAATGTTCGTACAAAGAAGGAAGACATTTGGGTGTACATGCTGAAAGCTCCTTTATATGCAGAGCAATTTGGGTAAACTTGAGACTAACTTAAGATTAAAAAGGAAATAACAGTATGAGTAATTTTGTACTTACAGTCACTTAGGTGAGGTTAATTTTAAATTTAATGTCAAAGAATCTCACTTTCAAAGATAACAAGTGTCATTATTCCATCTGCTAGGAAAATGATAGGACGGATAATGATAACCTTCAAAACAACGGATGCCAAGCACATGATGATCTTTAAGTCACTTGTTCCCTCTATGCTGCAATATTGCTGTACACTAACAACCTCTGTCAAGGCAGGCAAAATTGCAGATCTGTTGAATGTACAATGAACTTTCACTGCATGTATGTGCACAGTTGAGCACCTCAATTACTGGGACTGTTTGAAGTCTCCTGACTTGTACTCCTTGGAACACAGGGAAGAAAGATACATCATAATTTACACCAAGAAAATCGTAGAGGGACTAGACCCAAATCTGCAAACAGTAATCACTCCCTATGAGAGCAAAAGACAGCATGCAGTGCAACATCCATGCCAATGAAAAGCAAGGGTGCCATGAGTACACTAAGAAATAACAAAATATGTGTCAGGGGCCCAAGACTGTTCAACTGCCTCCCAGCATACATAAGGGGGATTACCAATAGACCCCTGGCTGTCTTCAAGAAGGTGCTGGACAGACACCTCAACCGGACTGTGGTTCATATGTTGGATTGTGTGTGGCCAGCAGTAAAAGCCCAGTTGATCAGGCATTGATCCACTGTGAGGCCTGGTCATGGACCAAGCCACATGGGCACTGACCCCAGGAACACCCTACAGGTAGATTCTAGGTAACATTGGTACTTACCTCAGCAGTGATGGGAACGAGAGTCATGGCACAAGCATCTGGACCTCGGTTACTAAGTGAGGAGCAGCAACTCAACACCTGCAAAATCATAAATAAATTACTTATGTGTTTTTCTTTACTAAAACAAACACACAAAACAAAGAACTCACTTATAATTACATTAGCACAGTACATTACGTTAAATCCTGAAGTAACTTGCATGTTGTACATTACACACAACAACAGTTACATTAAATGTACCAACAGTTACATTACACAAAACAACAGTTATATGACATTCATCAACAGTTTGGTAATGTTAGGTTATGTAATATTAGGTAGCTTATGTAATGTTAGGTAGGTTATGTTAAGTTAGGTTGGTTATGTCATGTTAGGTAGGTAAATAATATTAGGTTATATTAGGTTAGGTCATTTAATGCTATGTTAGGTTAGGTTAGGTTATGTAATGTTAGATTAGGCTATTTGTATTTCAATGGACGCAAAAATAAAAAAATAAAAAAATAAATAAATGCTGTGGATGCACTTTAACCCGTAAACGGTCCAAGCAGATCTACGTTCACATGTGTAGTGCTACAAAAGTATATAAGTAAGTAAGTAAGTAAGTAAGTAAATTTATTCAGGTATACACAATACAGTTACATAGAATTATCATACATAGCAGCATACGTGTAGAGAACCTGGGATAACCCAAAAAAGTCAGACAGAGTGACTTATTTCCATTGGGGTCCTTTTACCTTATTATTATAATATAAAGGTTATAATATTTTCTTATTATTCTATAATGAAGATAACATCTTATTATCATACTAAAAAGACTATCTACTACACGAGGGTCATTAAGACTATCTACAATACGAGGGTCATTAAGCTATCTACTACCCGAGGGTCATTACGACTATCTACAATACGAGGGTCATTACTAGGGATAAGGTAAAATTTACACGTATTTTAGCTAAAAAATAGAAAATCATTCCCCTCCCTTTCTGTTGCTTCATTCATCAGACACTTTTTGGCAGTCTTCTTGAACTGGTTCAAGCTATGACTGGCCTTGACATTTGTGGGTAGTCTGTTCCATTCCTTTATTGCTGTACAATAAAAGGTGTTTTTACATATTTTCAAATATAACAAAAAAAAAAGTAGATCAAAGTTTTTTTTTACACATTTTCAAATCTAAAAAAGCAAGAAGAAGATCTACTTTTTTTACATACTTTCAAATGTTGAAAAAACGTATATGTACACGTTTGGACCGTTTACGGGTTAAGGAACACACTGATGTAAGTCAAGTCTAGTATTGGTGGAAAATATAACATTTTGAGGAAGAAATTTGCACAAAATCAGCAGAAAAATTTCCTGGGTTAGTAGCGGTTGTTAAAAACAAGCTTTTCATAAACAAAAAATTTGCCTGGATTTTTTGGAATAAAACCCGTTTCTTTTTCATGTTCGGTTTTCCATGCTTTGATTTTTTGCTTAATATAATGTTTTTATATATTGAGAGAAGTATACCTGATATAATGATATAAGGTAAATGTAATCTTGGTGATCTGTACAATATATTACTGTGTACACTGCAGTGTGCACTTCTGCACTGTACTATCTACAGTACTTTCTACAGTGAATACCATACTGTGTTGATGTTTCTGATTATCAGAATATTGATGTCTCTGATTATTACAAAAATATTGATGATGTCTCTTGATTATTACAACAATATTGATGATGTCTCTGATTATCAGAATATTGATGACTTCCTTGATTATTACAACAATATTGATGATGTCTCAACAAGACTGTAATGTAACTACGTATTGTAAACTGATGATTGGATAGACACATTTCTTAACAAATTACTTAACTATGTATATGACAAACATTGTCCCATAAAAAATGAAACAGATTACGAATAAATGGCTAGGCTGCCCATGGCTAACTAACAGCATACTAAGATTCATTGATAAGAACCATCAATTTGAAAAACAATATAGACAGGGCTTAATAATCAAAGATATTATTAAATACTATGCATCAGTCCTCATCAAACTAATAAGAAAGCCTAAGCAATAGAACTACTCCAATAGATTCACCAAAACAAGAGAAGATATAAAAAAAGACCTGGAAGACACTCTCAGATTCTGGGCACCCACAAATTGAAAAACTAAGGATATTATCCTAACTAAACTGAATGAAACACAACTACAGCATATTGATACAGTTAACAAGATAAATGACTTTTTCTCAACTATAGGATCAAATCTCACCAGCGAAATCCCAGGTACCGAACTTGCACAAAAAATCACTCCTTACAAAAGCAAAAGACTCAGCAGACGATGCAACATCCCCCCAATGAAAAGCAGGGGTGCCACTAGCACGATAAGAGACAACACAATAAGTGTCAGGGGCCCAAAACTGTTCAACTGCCTCCCAGCATACATAAGGGGGATTGCCAATAGACCCCTGGCTGTCTTCAAGCAGGCACTGGGCAGGCACCTAAAGTCAGTACCTGACCAGCTGGGTTGTGGTTCGTGCGTTGGATTATGTGCGGCCAGCAGTAACAGCCTGGTTGATCAGGCCCTGATCCACCATGAGGCCTAGTCACACAGAATGCACACTGAACAATGAGTCAACAGTTACACGGTGTACTAACGTTGGTAGAATTACCGACAATATATTAGGTAAAAGGACACAAGTGCAACTAATGTGACTTTTTATTGTGGCAATGTTTCGCTCTCCAGGAGCTTTATCAAGCCATTATGGCTTGATAAAGCTCCTAGAGAGTGAAACGTTGCCACAATAAAATGTCACATTAGTTGCACTTGTGCCCTTTTACCTAACAGTTACACAGTGGTAGTGTTTCAAAGGCCATTATTTGTAAAAAATAAGGCAGCTGCATGAAGACCTCCTGAAAAAAATAAAAAAAAGGTTCTGAAACTCAATCCTTCAAGGCTAGTAGGGGTTGGTTTGATAATTTTAAGAAAAGAAGTGGCATTCATAGTGTGGCTAGGCATGTGGAGGCTGCCAGTGCTGACAAAGTCACTGTTAAAAAGTATGTTACTAAATTGTAAGAGTACGAAGAGGCTGAAGGAGTTTGTCCCCCAACAAGTCTTTAATTGTGACGAGACAGGCCTCTTCTGGAAGAAAATAGCCACAAGGACCTACATAACTAAAGAGGAAAAGTTAATGCCAGGACACAAGCCAATGAAAGACAGGCTCATTCTGTTACTGTGTGGTAATGGAAGTGGGGACTTGAAATTGAAGCCCTTACTTGTTTATCATTCCAAAAATCCATAAGCTTTTAAGAAGAACAGTGTTATGAAAAACAAATTGGCTGTAATGTGGAGGGCCACCACGAAAGCTTGGGTAACAAGGCAATCTTTTATTGAGTGGGTTATTGAGGTTTTTGCTCCCACAGTCAAAAATTACCCCATTAAAAAGAATTGCCACTCAGGGCCCTTTTACATACAGATAATTCTCCTACTCACCCTCCAAGCTTGGAAAATGAGTTGCTGGAGGAGCTCAGTTTTATAACTGTGATGTTCTTGCCTCCTAACACCACTCCTCTCATCCAACCCGTGGACCAGCAGGTCATTTCTAACTATACCACAGCATATTTTGAAAAGTGCTTTGAAATCACTTTAGAAGCAAATTTAACCCTCAAGGAATTCTGGAAGGACCATTTCAATATCCTCACCCGAGGACCATGCAGTCAGCATGGAAGAAATTGTGGCTTGACTTTGTGGCAGCCAGGGATTTTGAAGGCTTTGAAGATGAGCCTCAGCCAGAAGAGGATATTGTGTCTCTGGGGAAGACCTTGGGCCTAGAGATGACTGAAGATGATGTGGAGGAGTTGGTGGAGACACACAAAACTGAACTCACCACAGAACTCACACAGGAGGGATGTGGGTGGCTTTACTGTTATGTACAAGGCCAATATTGTCAAAGTACCACACATGGATCCACTTCGAGGACAGCGTGAAACAAGCTTTTATGCCACAAGATGAGCAGAAAGCAGCAACTTCACTCTGGCTGTAACCTTCTCCAGAACATCACTCCAGCTGAGATCATATATACCCAGGATGACTCGAGTATGGAACACATTCGTACAGCATAATGATGTCAACGAGATAAAGTCAGTTGATCAAATGACAATGCTGGCCCACAGATGGCTCCAACTTCATCCTGTTCATTACTTGTATGTCTCATAACAATAAAAATGCTTTCAAATGAGCTGATGTAGGTAACAGCTCTTAGCTTGCCAATAAAGTTAGGAATCCTTAACCTGTAAATAGCTTGTCAATAAAGTTAGTGATCCTTAACCTTGTCAAACCCTGTATAAAAAAAAAAAAAATTGTAGACCTTCAGAAGGAGTAGCAACAGATTGCAGCAGAAGAGCTGTCATCAGAGGAAGAGGAGGGAAGGGATGATGTGCCCATTGCACTTGTCAAGGAAATGAGTGCTAAATGGCAGGAGTTTGCTGAAAAATACCATCCAGACAAAGCAGTGGCCATCCATCTCTCTAACATGTACAATGACACTGTAATGTCTCAATTTAGACAAGTGTTAAAACGGAACCGGAAAGAAATCTCACTGGACAGGTTTTTAGTGAGACAAAGAACCAGTGAGCCAAAACAAGGTGTTAGTAGTGAAAAGAGACATAGAAGAGATACAACACTAAAAGGACAGTTGCCTGACATATTAATAGAAGGTGACTCTCCTTCCAAGCAGTGACATACTCCTTCCTCTCCTCCACCTCCTGCCTCCAGTAAGCCATTAACTCTCCTCTGACAGGCAATAGGCAGTTAAATTTTCATTTACTGTACAGTAATTCAGTTAAAGTTTCTTTTAGTATTCATTTTTAAAGTTTTATGTAGTAGTTAGTGCATTTTTAATATTATATTGTCACTTGGGGTCCAGAATGGATTGATTCTATTTATATTATTCTTTACGGGAAAAATTACTTTGGCTGTCGTCCATTTTGGATGTCAAATCGACATCTGGAACAAATTAAATTCAACAACCGAGGTTCCACTGTAGTAATAATGAAAACAAATGAGCCACACACCTGTTCCTGCAACATTTGTGCTGAGATGGACCAGCCACACATGAAGCAGATGCCACACATGCTGAGCACTATTAACAATGGTAGTTATGGTAGTCTTTATGCTGAGTAACATCAGCAATAGTAGTTATGGCAGCCTTTATGCTGAGTAGCACCAGCAGTGGTAGATATGATTGCCCATATGCTGAGTAGCATCAGCAGTGGTAGTTATGATTGCATTATGCTGAGTAGCATCAGCAGTGGTAGTTATGGTAGTCTATATGCAGAGTACCATCAGCAATGGTAGTTATGGTAGCACTGATGAAGGTTCACTGATATGAAGGAAGCATCTGAAAGTAAATGTATTATATTAATGTTAATGTTAATCCATCCCTACCTCACCTATGTCCCCCAAACCTCTCGGCTCACCTTGTATTACTCTCTAATCCCTCCCTATTTCACTTATGGTACCTGTGTCACCTGGGGATCCACATCAGGTACTCACTTATACTCTGGGTGTCATAGCATGAACCAGTTCAAGAAGAGTGCCAAAAAGTGTCTGATGAATGTAGCTACAGAAAGGGAGGGGAATGATTTTCTATTTTTTAGCTAAAATACGTGTAAATTTTACCTTATTCCTAGTAATGACCCTCATATTGTAGATAGTCTTAATGACCCTCGTGAAGTAGATAGTCTTTTTAGTATAATAATAAGATGTTATCTTCACTGTAGAATAATAAGAAAATATTATAACCTTTATATTATAATAATAAGGTAAAAGGACCCCAATGGAAATAAGTCACTCTGTCTGACTTTTTTGGGTTATCCTAGGTTCTCTACACATATGCTGCTATGTATGATAATTCTATGTAACTGTATTTGTGTATACCTGAATAAACTTACTTACTTACTTACTTACTTACTTACATAACTTGATCTCTAGCGTACATACCTGCTGTCCCCTGTTCACCCATCTGTAAAATGGGTACCTAGGTGTTAGTAGACTGGTGTGGGTCGCATCCTGGGACAAACTGATAAATTAGACACATGCGCAACTCTTGGGTATCTTTATTGAGGAAACGCTTCACCACACAGTGGCTTCATCGGTCCATACAAAGGAGAAATGTGAAGAATAGGAGGAGAATGAGGTAATCAGTCCCTCAACCTTGAGTCGATGTGGTCAGTCCATCAATCTTGAATAGAATACAGCATATGTGCAGAGAAGTCGCTTATATACCATAAGCAGGAGAGGTGCAGCAGTCGTAGGTGGTGTCACATTTGTTCAATGTGGAAGTAGGTCGTGCCCAAGGGTTAGGCAAGCAAAGAATTCCCAAGTATTAAGATCCCAAGAAGTTGCAGTGTCTTACAGGAATGTAGATGAATGTTTCAGAGAACCATCATATTGATAAATTAGACACATGCGCAACTCTTGGGTATCTTTATTGAGGAAACGTTTTGCCACACAATGGCTTCATCAGTCCCCCAAGGTTGAGGGACTGATTACCTCATTCTCCTACCTTTCTAATAGGTATCAGTATGTCACCATTAAAGACACAACCTCATCAATACGGCCACTTGATACTGGAGTTTCCGCAGGGAAGTGTCCTTGGACCCCTGCTCTTCCTCATTTACATCAATGATCTTCCAAACATGTCCCAACACCTGAAACCCATTCTCTTTGCTGACGACATGACTTATGTCATCTCCCACCCTAATCTTGCCACCCCCAACACCATTGTTAACAAGGAGCTGCTCAAAATATCGACTTGGATGGCAACCAATAAACTTACACTTAACACTGGCAAAACCTACTATATTATGTTTGGTAGCAGAGCAGGTGTTGCGCAACTTAACATTAAGATCGACAACACTCCGATTGCCAGACATAATGAGGGCAAATTCCTTGGCCTATACCTCGACAACAACCTAACTTTCAGCACCCATATCCAACACATAACAAAAAAAAGTATCCAAAACAGTGGGGATCCTCTCCAAGATACGATACTACGTACCGCAAACTGCCCTTCTCACACTATACCAATCACTTATATACCCATACCTCACCTATGCTATCTGTGCTTGGGGTTCAACTGCAGCAACACACCTAAAGCCAATAATAACCCAACAAAAAGCCGCAGTAAGAATAATCACTAAATCCCATCCCTGGCAACACCCCCCCCCACTCTTCATAGATCTAAACTTACGCCCTGTTCAGAACATCCACACTTACTACTGTGCAATCTATATCTACAGGACCTTAAATTCCAATATTAACCTTGACCTAAAATGCTTTCTTGATAGTTGTGACAGGATCCACAGGCATAACACCAGACACAAACATCTCTATGACATTCCCCGTGTTCAACTAAACCTTTACAAAAATTCAATGTATTTCAAAGGACCTAAAATCTGGAACACCCTACCTGAAAACTCTAGAACTGCAGACACATTCATCACTTTCAAAACTACAGTTAGAAAACATCTTATCTCCCTGATCCACCCTGACAACTAACTACATGATAACCACCTGGTGGTTCAAAATTACACTCGCTCACCCACTGACTATAAACCCAGAAATACTAATCTTAATCTTAAAATAATAAATCCTAACTAGTCATAAGTTTGCCTATGATACTCAAATATAGACACCTTGTATTGTGCCAAAACAAAAGCATTCACATTGCTAAACTCACAAATTATGATGTAGTCACTTAGCCTTAATACCATAACCTGTAAGGATTTAATGTTAAGAATTAATCTAAGTCTGCTCGAAATGCCTAGCCATGCTAGGTGTCCTAGTGGCCCCCTCTGTAATTAGTATTTTATAACATGTAAACCACAAAATACCCAAAACCTGTAAACCCCACATGTAACCATTATAGAGAATAAACCTTAATTGAATTGAATTGAATGAAGCCACTGTGTGGCGAAACATTTCCTCAATAAAGATACCCAAGAGTTGCGCATTGCCTAATTTATCAACATGTCGGTTCTCTGAACCATTCATCTACAATCCTGGGACAAAACTGACCTAATTTGCCTGAAATGCTCTGCATAACAAGGTGCTTTCTATATAGTAGTATGTCACTGATGTCAGCTAGGCCTGAATACCTTGTATATGTACTTGTAGAAATAAAGATATTATTATTTATTATTTGTGTTACTCAGTAAAATGTGTCTCAGAATTCTTACTCTTCCTGGCAACATACACAGCACCTGTTATTCAAAACTTTAAATATACTTAAGATACAGAATGTTCACTTTCTACTGTGTAAGCTTTATTGACTACATTTCACCCACTGTATGGGCAAAACACAATTAATGTATATTTTTCCACCTTTACAATAGACATTGTCCTAATAAAACTAAGTAGATCACAGCAAAGAGACTAGATAACCCATGGTTAACAAATAGCATCCTCAGGTCCATTGATAAAAACACAGATTGGGCTTAATAACTAAATAACAAACCAAAAACTATATGTCAGTACTAACCAAACCAATATGTCAGTCTAACTGTATTATACTAGCAGGTTCAATGAAATAAGAGGTAGTATGAAGAAGAAACCTGGAACACACACACTTTAATCCTGGGTTCTCAGAAGCTGACAAAAACCAGAAATATTGTCCTAACCAAACCTCCTGACCCACATATCCAGTCTACTGAAACAGTTAATACATTAAATGATTTCTTCTCTATCACAGAGTCAAGTCTAGCTAGTAAAATACCAAGTACCAATGCTCAAGCAAGTAACTAGCAAGTTGAAAGTCGTCCAAACTCCTATCTGGCTCCAACTAATCCTACTGAGGTCTTTCTGATAATAAACTCATTGAAAAATAAGTCAGGAAACTTAGTACAAGTACCACCACTATTGTTCAGAAGATTAGCTCATGTACTGTCACCCACTATTGCATTATTGTTCAACCAACACATTCCCCAAAATGCTTAAGATAGCAAAGGCTACCCCAATACATAAAGGAAGATACTCAATTGATGTAAATAAGTATAATAAGTATAGACCTATATCTAACCTGCTATTTATATCTAAAATCTTTGAAAAATTAATCCAAAAGAGATTATATTCTTTTCTAGCATCATGCAACATACTCAGCCCCTGCCAGTTTGGTTTCAGACCAAAGAAAAGACCAAATACAATTATAAAATGTTAGACTTTGTGTAACTCTCGAGAACAATGAATCCACCAGGCCTCTTTATAAATTTTAGGGGAGCTTTCAGTACAATAGACCACAATATCCTGCACCCTTAAACTTGAACATTATGGTATCCGAGGTCATGCCTGAAGCCCTACCTTAACAAAAGACACCAATAGGCCTCCATCAAGGGCACAACCTTGTCAACAAGACCCATCAACATGAATGATTTACCAAATGCACCACAGCAAATTAGACCTGTTCTGTTTACAGACAACACAACTTTTGTTATCTCCCACCCAAATCCAAATTCTCTCAATAATACCATTAATAAGAAACCCATAAAGATATCAACCTGGATGATAACCAGAAAGCTCACTTTTAACACTGACAAGACCTTCTACATGATGTTTAGAAGAGAGCTACAAATGTCTAACTAAGCATTATGATTAATGATTCTCCCATTACAAAACAACACAATAGAAAATTCTAAAGTCTGTTCAACAGCCACATTCAGCACATAAAAAAAAAAATTATCCAGATCAGCTGGCAACCTCTCGAAGATATGTTACCATGTACCTCAAACAGCACTACTTACATTATACTTTTCTCTAGGATATCCCTACCTTACCTAAGCTATTTGTGCCTGGGGATCCACTACAGTTAATCCCCTAAAGCCAATAATATCACAACAAAAAGCAGCTTTACGAATGATCACCCAGTCTACTGCCAAACACACTCCCCTCTCTTCAAAAGTCTAAACTTGTTTAATTAATATACATAAAATTCACTCATACTACTGTGCATACTACATATACATACAGGACAATCAATTTTAATATTAATCCTACTCTGAAACTCTTTCTTAATAGTTGCAACAGAACCCATAAGCATAATACTAGACACAAAACCTCTATGATATTCCCCGTATTCAATTCAACCAGTGTAAAAACTCAATGTGAATAAAAGGACCTAAACTCTGGAACTCTCTACCTGAAGATTCGAGAGTTGGTCTGTCTGCCAGGTACTTCAAAGCTACTCTTACAAAACATCTCCTTACCTTAATGTGATCCTAACAACAATTAATTATCTCAAACAAAGTGATATTACTGGTAAGGCATTATTTTCTTGTATCACTTCAGGTACCTAGCTTCATTCTTAGTGTATCTTTAGTCAGAATTTTTATTATATTACTGGAT